AAACATAACCACATGTCTCTGTCCTTGGTACTTAACCCTCCCACATAACCACATGTCTCTGTCTTGGTACTAAACCCTCCTCACATAACCACATGTCTCTGTCCTTGGTACTAAATCCTCCCACATAACCACATGTCTCTGTCCTTGGAACTAAATCCTCCGACATAACCACATGTCTCTGTCCTTGGTACTAAACCCTCCCACATAACCACATGTCTCTGTCCTTGGTACTAAACCCTCCTCACATAACCACCTGTCTCTGTCCTTGGTACTAAACCCTCCCCACATAGCCACATGTCTCTGTCCTTGGTACTAAACCCTCCCACATAACCACATGTCTCTGTCCTTGGTACTAAACCCTCCCACATAACCACCTGTCTCTGTCCTTGGTACTAAACCCTCCCCACATAGCCACATGTCTCTGTCCTTGGTACTAAACCCTCCCACATAACCACATGTCTCTGTCCTTGGTACTAAACCCTCCCCACATAACCACATGTCTCTGTCCTTGGTACTAAACCCTCCCACATAACCACATGTCTCTGTCCTTGGTACTAAACCCTCTTACATAACCACGTGTCTCCCCCTTATCATTCAATAGGAAGAAGAAGATGAAGATGACCCATTCACACATGGTCATGAGTTTGCACCCAAAGACGTTCTGCCCATGTCATACCAACCCAAGGACAACATGCATGGGATTGGTTACAGAGGACTGGTTCCCACTGACTTCCTGGGTCCCTCTATGTCGACCGCACGTCTGGGCCCAAAGAGCAAAGGAATGAAAGGACAGGTCAGTAACCTATTAACAAGAGAAAGAAAATTACAATGATTTTTTTTGGAAGTTTGAAACTGATTTCAGCAAACCAGTACACAGCACTAACATGTACCATGTCAACCAAATGCTGCAGGCCTTTGGTGTGGGAGTATTTGAAGAAGAAGATGATGACATCTACACCACAGACTCCATGGCTAACTATGACTTCACAGCTGCAGGGGTGGAGGTACAAACCCAGAGTCAACTCAAGCAAACAAGTAAGGACATGGCAGAGCAATCTCTGAGATCCCCTGGCAGATTGTTTTAGAACTGCAGAAGAATTTTAGTGAAATCTTTGAAAGGAGAAGTGGACAGTGAGTGAGAACGTCTAAAAGTTATACATGTCCAAAAGATAATTACTAATTAAGCTTAAATTGGAAGTGTTAGAAAAGAATCCTGGATTTAGGTAGGATTTGGCCAGCTTATTCTAGGTCATGTCAATTCAAAACAAAAACATAGATATATATATACAAGTTAGAGTTCCAGGAGCTCATGCCTTTACCAAATGATGTTAACTTTTATTACTGGCAAATTATACATGTTTCTAATTGATTTTGCAAACAATATCATTTATATGAACCATACATGTATCCACCCAATGGCAATCTTATCAAGAAGACTATTCCTATCATTTCCACCCAGATGATGCAAATTAAATCCGATTCTTGATTTGCATAACTGTCATCAAATTATGTCAAGTGTCACTTAAGCTACCAACGTACTAGAAATCACAAAGGCCGGTAATTGTTTCTTGAGGTTATAATCCTTTTTTAAGTTCAAAGATTTTAAAGATATGCCCCTGTAGTTTCAGAACAAGCTGCTAGGGGACAAAACTTTAAAATCTTGTACAGTTATTCCAAGTTGAATGTGTATATTAGTTGATATTATTGTGTACTGTGTACAATTGTACAAAGTTCATTATAGATTTTATTATCTTAAATTTATTTTGAACCTTTTTCCTAGGACATGGCCATCAAATGCCTTCTATAGAAACTAAGGCCCCAGAGGGTTTTGTACTCTCAGCAAGGGCAGCACAACCAAAACAGGTAAGAAGCAATTGCTAAAATGTACATGATGATCATGAAACATATATGTACAACACAGTAAGTATATGTCAGTTCGTGTTCATTTAGAACTTCCTCATCTTTTGTCATCCTTAACATACTGAGGTGAAGCATGATGCTTTTTCAGTAGCCCCTGGTGCAGTATATGTGGCTTTGCTTTTGCTTTGGTAGCAAATATCAGACATACAAAATTGTAGGTTTGCCATTAGTAAATAATTCATAGACCTTAGCTGACTATACAGGACCTGGTGTATTTATTGGTATTTTTACATTTTACATGATGTTACCGCGGCCTGCATGTGAATGCAGTTCTAAGTCTAACGAAAAAGTAACGGAAAACTAACGAAAAGGTAACCAGTTAGTAACGGAAAACTAACGAAAAAGAAACGCGTTAGTAACGGCCGTTAGGCTAACTATAACGCGAACGGTACTGTATTGTTCATGCAATGCAGTCTATGGTACATGTACATAACTGTTCTCATGTGCACCAAAGCCCAGCATTTTACTTTTTCCCCCTGTACTTGTGAAATAAACCATTGATTAATTGATAACAAGTGTGGATATGTTCCCAGGTGTTCCCTCCCCCTGCTGTTCCAAGAGACTTCCGCCCTGTGCACAGGTTCAGCAGACCTGCTGAGGGTGAGCTGCAGACAGCAGGCAGACACAGTCTCACAGCACTGCAGAGAGCACAGGCACTGGGCGAGAAACCACCTACAGGTACATGTGTTTAAAGTTAAAACTTTGGTCCAACACAAAAAATTCTCTCACCTAGAGCTTTCGACCAGTCACTCTGGTCTTCCTCAGTAGACTGACCCATTGAAGCATGTCACGTGGCTTCTTTGAAGTGTGACGTCAACACTGGGTCAAAGGTATCTGGTAGACGATGTCGGCCCCCGTCGCGGTTCAATGTAGGGTGATGGGCCCTGATGTATATGACTTCCTTCACCCCTCTCAAGAAATAGTCTTGTTCAGTGTCCAAAATCCTTACAGTGTCCAGTGAAACAAAGTGTCCAGGTGACTCTATGTGGAT